GCTTATCTTTCTAGAAAAATAAATACCTTGAAATATCCCCGAACAGAAAATTAAAAAAAGAATGTATTATATAAACAGTCAAATCTTAATAACTATTTATAAAGCGTAGGTGTTAAACCTTTGATATATTTCTTTTGGCATTAAGATGATATATATCTCTTGACAAGATCAACTGATCGTTATTATCCTTATAGTGTTAAACATAAAAAATGATTAAGAGGGAATTTCAAAGTTTTAATTTTTAATTATAAAGCCAATTGGCCGGAAAAAATTTTGAAATAAACGACTGGCATACTATGGAATACTGAAGAGGTTTGTTGGAGGAAGGCCATATAACGTGTGTCCTTTGGGCTGTTTCCAATTTCCAACGAGTCAATTCGAATGCGCACGATGACGCTGTCCAAATCTCAGCACATGAACTATTAGCATGCTCATTCAATGTTGGATACGCTGGCCAACAACGCAGCATCCGGCATGCATCGTTGGGATGTGGCCAACTATTCACTTCAACTCCGAACCTTCAAGTTCTCCAGTGATTACTGGATTTATTTATAACAAATAAATTAGACTACGAGTGATTGATTTGGTTAAATAAGTTAGAGTAAATTGTATTAAGCAAGTCGAATAAATTGAATTTAACAAAACATTGTAACTGAATAAATATGAACCAATAAGGTGATCCAAAACAAAAAAAAAAGTAAACGAATAAAATGAACAAAAAAAAACTCTAGAATTATTTGTAATTTAGTTGATTAAAGAATTTCTACTTATTTTCAGTAGCATCACCTCCGCAGAGTATCTTACCTGCTTATATCCGTCCTTATGTACACCAAAAAAGGAAAAAAAATTTTTCACTGACTTGAAGCATATATTATTGAATGACAACGTGAAAGGAAACAATACAAAACTAGCAAAAATGGAAAGTCATGAATTTTTTTACTGTTGGATTGTAAAAAAGGCTACCAACATGAGTTAACTTTTAAAGACCCTAAATCTGCATAATTAAACAAAGTGTCAGCTTCTTAATCCTAACAACGATAATAATACACAACTAGTTAACTCAGACAACAGCGACAAATGATGTAGTGATATATTATCATATGAAATAAAACGCCTACCTTAGATCCCACAAAATGATGTAACGACTGGTTGAAGTAAGACACATCCAATTTTGACTCACTGGATCGATACAAAATGATGTTATCAAACCATATTCATTTTTGATCCGATGTCGCCAAACTACTTTGGGCTTAGAGCCCAAAATTGCCCTCTCGTACGTTGGTATCCTGGAAGGTTAAACGTGGAGATACATATGATTAAGCTTTATCATGATCTCTTTTCAACCTTAAATTAGAATTGTCATTCAGCGAAACAGCAGCATGAATAAGATATTCAAAGAGCCAGAACACCGAACAAATATAATTTTAAATAGCATAGCCATGTATTATATATATACGCTTTCCATGAGCTATTTCGTACTAGAATCATCACACTAAAACATCCGAGCAAATATTCACCAGCAAATAGATTGCAAACGATTACTGATCTACGGTAAACTATTTCGCATCTGTATTAAACAGGAACTTGAAACAAATAACCCAAAAAAAGTAGTTATCTCCATATAAGGCAGGGGTTGGGTTGCAGAACTGAACGGAGCCAAAGTTACCTTGAAGCAAATTTCCATATTTAACATTAGATTATGACTTTAGTGATATTAAAATATACACCAGAGATGATATTCTGTCTCCTCTAAAGTTTAAGTTGAAAATTCTATCATCTCAAGTCAGTACATGTCAAAGAAGGAAGAAGCTACATAACCTATTATCGTCCAATTTTTGTAAATTAATACCTATTATCGTCCAACAATATCTACAGCTATGAACTGAGAGTAAATGATCCTAACATATTTCGAAAATTTTAGAATAAAATCACCTGCAATCAAGGCAAAAAATGCTGTTATGATGGGTTAAGACATAGAGAAGATTATCAACGGCGATAATATCCACTGGTGGACCTTCTCTTTCTTTATCGAAGCTAATCTTTGTTAAAAGATGCATTCGTTCAGTATCAATAATGCTAATACGATAGTCTTCACTTGCAATAGCCAGATGCGATCCAGTTCGTCCCAAAAATTGTACCGAACTGATTTCCTGACCTACAATTTAAATTTAATAATTTTGAAAATATTATTTTTATATAGTTCACAAAGAATTTGAACTGTGACTGACTACCAAAAAAACAAAAAAAAAAAAAAATTACGTCAACTTATTAACGGCTCAGAGTAAAATCGAAATATCCAATGCTTTAACTTATTCTATCAACCTATTCAGCTATATTAATCTGCTCTTAGATTTATGCAGATAAGCAAGCGGTTAAATAAACAAGATGGTGAACACAATATTTAAATAACTTTAAAAGATAGTAATAGATAATGGACATATTTCTGAAATCAGTCAATATATAATCATTTAAATTAAGGAAAACTTACCACCATAGGTAAATGTAGCATCAGCACGGACAATCATACTCAAATCTCCCTGTATACGATTCAGCGACCATAGTTTCACAAGTCCATCAGCACCAGCGCTTGCAAAATAACAACCGTGCGGACTTTGTGCTAACCTAAAAAACATTTTATTCCAATTTCTACATTAATCTGAAAATATTCCATGACCTATTTGTTTATGCTACTTTTGAATGCCGCAAATAGTTAGCTTACCAAACAAGCAACAGAGTGATAGTGAAAAAAATAAAAATAAAAAAAAAAGCTAAATAGGCATGAAATAATATCAGGAATTAACTAGAGTTATGGAATATTTCAAAATAAGGTTTAACTTACTTATTAACTGCTGCTTTATGTTCATGCAGATGGGAAACCAAACTGCTACCAAGACGTATAGATGGTAACGGTAGTGAGGAATTGGAATTAGCAGAAGAACTTCCAGAATAGATGATCGGATGAAGTCGTTGACGTTTTGCATAACGTTCCCTTTTGTGAGTTAATAGCTCCGATAGCATTATTTTACAAGCCGACGAGCGTACTGTAACACCGTTCATTTACTGATGTTGCAAACAGTCTTCCAGTCGATTTGACTCAGATATTTCAGTGTACAGACTATAGCTGAGTACTGTCAAAGACCAAACAAAGATGAATATCACGTAAGCTTCCAGCAGGCGAGGATTAAGCAACATTTCCAACTTGAATAGAGATTTTTTCCCTATCGATTTTCATAAGAATTCAAATAAATTGAAAACTAAGTAAAAAGAATTGATGTATGAAAAAATCACAAAAAAAATTATTACGAAAAATGAGAATTTCCAGAATAATATGAAACAGAAGTTTTCCTAAAAAAAATACCAGCAAAACTGTGACCAGTCCCAAGATGTGAGAAACCTGATGCTGATAAAGCATATTCAGGTGGTTCCAATACTTCTGAAGTAAGAAGAGATTCTGAAGGTCCACCAAAATTAGATGTGAGCGTATTAATATCATCATAAATATTTCTCCATTCCGTAGGATACTGGCCATTTGCACTAACTGTCTGAAAAAAAAATGGAACTAAGCAGATTCGCAAGTGTAAATTTCAAATCTCTTCAGCAATTAAAAGAAAATCATTCAAAAGGGTTAGTACTCAGTTTCTTGCGGACAGGTCCTTATCAGCCATCGAACTGAACTCCCAAGAGTCTTGGTTTTCATATTCTGTCCCAATTACTGACATTCTATGGGAAGGGCTTATCGGCAGCACATTATTGTATAGAACAAAATGTGTAAGGATTCCAAGTTAATTGGAGTGGTGGTCTACATCATGCCAAAAACGTGAAGTTCCAGGACTTTGTTATGTGAATCATTGCTAGTTAAGCCTTGGAATTACGGAAATATCATTCTTGCGTACCTTATACTAATATAGATATTCAGTGACAAATTAAGTTCTGATGTGCGTTTCCAAACATTAAAAATAGAGCTAAATTATACGACATGTAAAGCAATTATAAAAGGAAGTAAAGTAAATCAGTTAGCAGAGTGAAGACAGACCTTAACACATGCCGTTTTTGGATCACTACTAAGATCAAATATATGCAATTTGACATTCGTTTCTGTCAGATCAATCACACCAGTATTTACGTCCGCATTAGCAGCACCCAAACTATAATTGCAACATTATTTGTAATGAATACAAAATAAACATCGCTGATTTTACTTTTACATGACATGGTTATCAAAGCCGGCTAAGTAACGGTTAATGTACAATATATCAACAAAACTACTTCACTACCATTCAATCTTATTATTTTACATTGTATCTATTCACAAAAATGTAATGCGTTAGTAGACTTATCTTAATTAACAGTAAAGCAAGTTAAACAAATTTTTTACCTTACGGCTTCAGTAAATTAAAGAAAACTGATTGACAAAAAGTTAAAAAAAAAGAAATTTTAATCATATACTGCACAGTTGATAAATATAACTGAACTTCAACTCAATTTCTGAGTCATTTCAAGAATTATAAAAGTTCAGCAAGGAAGAAATCAAACCTGGTGCGAAAATCAATCATTTTGGTTATCGTATTCTCGGAACGGACTAATTTATCTTCGATATTACGATCCAAGCCCAAATTTTCTAAATGTTTTAAGCAGGATTCCAACTGTGCCGAAGCTGGTTGGCATCTAGAACAGTGTGAAATTTCTTCACTGGTTAACTCTTAGTATATTTTAATCAAAATATATTTTCTACGAAAATTATTTCTTCCTTTGTTAGTCACCGCACCAAATGTGACAGCAAATTTGAAGCATCCTTTAGCATAAAAATGAGATGATGAAAAAATAACATATTTTAAACTTTATTTTAAACAAAAAATTGGAAAAAAATAGTATATTTTGAATATTTTAAATTTAAAAGAATCATCGTTTGCATGAAAAGATATGAACTCATACATAAATGTAATGCTATCTAGAATGAATGCTTCACATGTTCATAAGAAAATGCCAATTGGAAACAATTTAACGATAATCAAAATCAAAACATAAAAATTGGAACAAAAAGCACAAACTTTCTGCTAACTGCAAACGTCGAGTCTTGGCCACCATCCAAAGCTAAATATATTTGTTTGTCGGCCATGAAATCGAGCAATAACTTGACGGGTGGAACGTTTATCACGTAATTCCAAATCGGACGTGGAATGTGCGGCCTTAGAGAAGAGGCAACTACAAACTACAAAAAAAGAGTTAAAAATTTAAAATTTCCTCAACTTTCTTCATATTCATTAAGATATGCTATGTTTGATAACTAATGCTTTATGTTGATTGGTTAGAAAAAGAGAATATATATATTGTTTGAGGAAATATCGTAACAAAGAGTTGACCTCAGGCACCGTCTATTCTGCCATCATTTCACAGTGTCCTAATATTTGATTGATCAGTGCTGGTTAGGATTATACTGGTTAATGCTTAAGCTAAAATTGGCTAAGAAGACTGTTAGATCTTCGTGAATTAAATCCGGTTTTAATGAAATGATAATGAAAGCTGGCATTGCTACTCTAGCTTATTACTCTAGTCTTATCCTGAAAAGCAGTAGTCAGATTTTATCGCACCCAGTTTTAAATAACACGTACTGAACAGATTTAAACTTTGGTACTTTAATTTTAATAATTATACTATAGCAGCACACCTTGTTTCGCAGTTTTATCAGCCGTTCCTTCGTATAAGGTTCTACAGCTGGCATTACTTTACATAAAATATCTGCTACATTAAATTTTGTATCCAGTGTACTCAAAATATTCAATGTTGCCATTCGTAGATATTCATTCTGGAAATTACAAAGTTCTAGCAACAAATGAAAACATTGAACAATGGATATATTAATTTATGGCTCAAATCTTTACCTACAGAAGAATGTTTGTAAGACTACTAAGTTTGATGACCAAACTACAAGTTCAACAGATTGCTACCAACTATTCGAAAACTTTAAAGTCTAAGTCAACTAAGACATACCGGATGAGCCAAAAATGGTACGACATCATTTAGTAATTCGTAAATAACAGATTTCTCCAGTAAATCTTTTTCACATAGTTGACATATGCAATATAACGTATGCAACTGTACAAATTCTTCGTAATCATGTAAACCCTGCAGTTATAAGTTATGCTTTTCAATAAAAACCACTCCTGCATTTTAACAACGATTTACATGCTATGAATTTATCTATATTATTTTCCAAAACAAGATTTTCTTAATCAAATTGGTAACTACATATTCCTCTAACCAAAACTTTATTATTTTCGGTCTTGTTTAAGCTTTTTTTAAGTATATAAGCACAGGATGCATTCAGATCAATTGCAGAAATTAAGAAAATTTCAAATGGAGAACTTACTTAACAACATCCACATTTCTACTTTACTGACTATCTTTTTCCACATACATTTACTAAATGACCACTCATAACTTTATTCTTACTCATCACTCTATGACAAATTATTCGAAGCATATTTATCTTTTTATTTTACTTTCATCAGTTACCTTCAATCATATCTTCGCATTATCTTAACTTCATTTCCACCTTTTCCTATTTGCTACCAGTATTGAAATTTCCATAATAATGTGAAGACTGTTCAGTCATAGAAGAGATCTTAAAATGATACATAGATATAAAAAAGTATGAACCTGCTGCAGAAGTGAGAACAAAACGTAGGTATTTTGACGACCAACAAAATCAGCAATGATGTGACAGCATTCAAAGAATGATGCTCGAAGGCGCCAATTGACTTTGTCATTCAAAAATGTAATCAGATGCGACAGTAAAACATCGGTTGCTGTAAATCAACTTATAAAATATTGAGACTTATTTTTTAAGCAGAAAAAGCTTTTTAAGCAAAAAGAATTCCTAACATAGAAAAGTTGAACAAATTTATTACCATATCAAAATTTCGAGTAGTAAAGTTAATTGTTCCTTATTAGTACTGAGCCTAGCGTTATAAATAATGGTGTGGCTTAACTTGAAACGTGCCTGCCTTTTTTCATAGTAGCTAATTTCCTTCATACTATATCATTTCTTATTGTTAATGTCCTCTCTATCGTTATGGGCAAAATTTTAAAAAAGCTAGGAATATTGATTTTGCCACAACAAAATGTAAAATAAGTGCAAAATGACATTTTTATCATTACTAATATTATTACAGATCATTCCCGTCAACCCAAATCAACAGTGCTGAATAAGTAACAACAATTCTTACTTTTTCGACGATCAAAAAACTGACACAACTTCTCCAATGACTGCGGGGTTACAACGCTATGCTGCAAGAAAAAATCATATGCTACTCTCAAACACACTATAGCAACCCACTTTTGCATCCAAATTTAATAATTTGGATGCAAAAGTGGTTTGCTTAAATTGTGCTACGAACTAATTCCTTTTCCTTCTGGAATTAGGATATTTCGAAACTAAGAGAACAAAGACAACTAGAAATCAAAAAGAATTAAAAACACAACTGCAGTTAATGATTGAAGAGATAATGAGTTTAGAAATGGTGAACCTTTTGCCAAAAAATGAAATTTTTAAATTTTAGACAATAGAATATGGAAAAATCAAAACTAATATCAGCTTCTTTCAAATTCTCATACCTTGACGATGTTATTCGAATCACATAAATTAACGAAAATTTCAATAAGAGTCTGTTGAAGCGTCTCCGTTTCTTGCTTTGTAAACCGTTCTTCACGTTCGCTGTTGTCCATTTCGGTTGATCCATCCAATAAATCATCCGTGAAATTTTTCCGTCCTTCATGGATAAACCTGAGATTAAATATTCCGAAATAAAATATGAGTTTGGTGGAAGTTAAATGCGAGCTTAGTCTAAAGAAAACTGCCCACCTGAAAGAAGCCTCGGCTAAATCACCTAAATTCTGTGCCAGAGTTATTCGTACCAAACTGTGTGGATCCAACGAGGCATATTTCTGAAATATAACATAATTGATATTAAAGCAAAAATCTCATTCAATTTCTATGACTACACTACGAAGTTTACATTATCTTTTCCAGTTGCTTAGAGTCTTTCAAAGATTATTTGTTATTCAGGATAGTAAAAACTATAAAACTATTTGGTATTGCGTAACTGCTTGAAAGAAAATCATAAAAGAGTAGGCGAATATGCTGAATTGAAGTATAAAATAAGTAAGGTCCCTTTCAAGATGGAGAAACACATACAGAAAGTTTTTATAGATGTTTTAATCATTTAAGCTGGGAACAATAGTTTTGCAAAATCGAAGGTTTTATTTTTATCAGGATTTAGAACAATGCAAAAAATGGTTCGGTACGAAAGTACAAAATCATTTTTCTAATATTTAATCCTAGAAAAAATACACGAGTTAACGAAGTCCTTCGCATATTGAAACTCTTACAAGTCTTGGAAACAAATAATCGACAAATAATCGAGTTTCATAGCGTGGTATTTCATTGAATGATTTTAGCAGTGAAGTAACTGAATTAATGGCTTCACATTTAACCTGAACCATGCAATCGAATATCATTTCAACCTATAAAAATTTATAATTCGAAAATCTTCATTTCAAAAACTACAAATACAAAACACCAATACATCGATCTGAACTGAGAAATAGATTCCCGCATATTTAAACTAGAGATGCTCTCACACATAGGTAAAAAAAAAACCACATAATAACAGACCAAGTATGGCAACAAACGATCGGCAACAACTGAATTATCCACCCATGGTATGTACCTATGCAACAACTTCATCGACTCCTGAAAAAAAAAATTTAATTTGGTCTAGAACAGTCGTTAAAACCATATAACCCAAATAAGCGGGAAAAAAACAATGGAATTGATGAGTAATCACTGGAAGAATGGATTAAAAGAATATTTTAGAAATTCAGGATTGTCCTTGAATCAATATATTACTAATTTCTTTTTTATCCCGGTATTTTCGCGACGTAAATTTATTTAGTCTTGTCTTTTCCCTGTCCTTGCACAATGCTTATGAATTGTTCACCCAAAAATAACATCTGGTATATTTTTAACTCTAAGCACAGTGATGAAGTAGAATGAAAAAGCTTCCAGGATGTATTTCGGTGATATACATACAAATATCTCTTTATAAATAGATAAGTAAATAGGTAAAAGGAGTACAAACTAAACCATAATTTCATATGAAAAGATTAAATATAAAAAGTATACTAACAAATTTTGCAGTCAATGACTTCAATGTGCGCATATTTGAAGTGGCCAGTGCAATGATAAGTAAAATGGCAGGTAACTGATCGAATGGTTTTCCATTAACCTCAGCCTTCTCTGATAATTTCTCCACAGTTGCTTGCATATCGAATGATAATCTGAACAAACTTGATTTCAGTTCTCCTCACTATCATAAAATGATAGATAAAATGATAGACATATACGTACACATATTTTAAACCTTCTACACAAGAGTCAGAAAATAATAAAGCGTTAATCTGATGAAGCTCAACGAGAGCAGTCCACAATAAAACAATTAGTGTTAGCAAAACAATTCGTTAGTATTAGTTATTTTCTGAACAAAATAACAATTGCGGATAAAAGTATGCAAGAATGTTTAGAATAAAATAAGAATTGTGGATAGAAGTATGCGAGGATATCTATGGGTAAGGAAAAGCAGTTTTCACGTCTTTCAAACCAATTAGTTTTAAAACATATTGAATTAACGAACTTTGCAATCGCATTATCCGAATCCATTGATTCTGAATTTTGGGCCTCTTCAAGTGATACGCTTGTTTGTACATATTTTGGTCGAAAAGCATCTATATAATCATACAGGAAATGATCGAATATTGGTGGGAATAAAAGTGAGGAGTACTCTCGAACCTCAAAAATTCGATTTTTTAACTTTAAAATAACTTTCATTCAAAAATGAGTAGACGTTGATCATTAGCCCTCATGATATGAAAAAACAATCCGTTATGTCTATTCATCAATCAAATGAAAACAAACTTTTTCAGATCTGCTTTCCCCCTCGCTTAAATCAGAAAAAATCTTAAAAATCAAGCAAAGCAAAGAGAAGCAGAAGGGCTAGAAGATCTAACTGGAGAAAAAATAGCACTTGGATTTGAAGAATTATAATCAAGTATGTTTGTCCCACACTAAAATAATCTACGGTTCAACGCATCTTGCTTCTCATGTACAACGAAGTCAAATAATAACTTTGTCAAAAACTAGATTCCCAGAAGTCTTCCGACTCTAATTGCTAAAGAACTTCGAGTGACCACATTTAATTATTTAATATGACTTAGACTACTTTTTTGTGTACACACAGCTTTTTGTTTATATGTCTTTTTTTCGTTACGCATTCTGCATGCAACATGAAATGTCTGGTAAAATTTGCCACCAACATACCATAGCCGAAATTACTAGAATTTACGGGAAGAAAATGCCTACCAACATTGATGCCTTCGGCCTTTTTGCTGGATTGCGATGAAGCATCAGACCGATCATACTGCGCAATTCTTCAGGTAACTGTTCTTGAATATTCTGAATCATTACTTGTGCTTCTGCATTAGACGCATGTCTAAAAATATCAACTTTTGATTATCTGACCTACTCTCGAATAAAATTTGAGAATAAGAACTCCAAGAAAAAGAAAAAAGTAAAGCACAGAAATCATTCCACTCAACATACTTATATTTAACGAGTAATTCGTAGGTAAATGGACATTGGCCTTCGGTAAACAGCTCAACAAGTACACAACCAAGAGAAAAGATATCCATAGCGTGTGTGAGGCCTTTGGAGACGTCCATAAATTCACCCGGAAGATTTGGATGTAAATTTAGTTCTTGACTGGTACAAAACCTTTCCGGTGCCAAATAACAGCTCAACTGTCGACTAGTATCGAAAAAGAACGTGAAACACGATGGATCATCCTGAAGTACTGACATAATTAGTTAACTTCAATCATTAGAGCTTCTAACAGATTTATATAAACTATCATTTGCTTAGTACGTGAAAATGCGGAGAATCTGAAAGAACAGACGGCTAGACCCAAAAGATAGGGCAACACAGTATGATCAAATAAGGGGAAAGATGAACATGATAAAAAAAATACTTTGCCCGTAAGAAAAACTGATTCGTAGCAAGAAATCTAGAATACCTACTGTGCTCGCATCAACAATGAGTATTCAAATATACAATTGAATATATTACAAACCGATGGAATGCTGGCAGGCTTGAATGATGCAAAATCGGTTATTTGCACCCAATTATAACTTGAAACAAGGATATTTTGAGTTTTCAAGTCTCCGTGGCATACTTCAGCATATTCACATTGAGCAAGTGCCTGGAATAGAATGAAAAGAAAACGAATCGCTTTTTCAGAAAACGAAAAAACGAATCACAAACGAATCGTTAAAATTTTATGTCACTACAGTACGAAGAATTAATAACCTTGAAGAGATGAAAAGCAATCCATCTTTTCTCAATATCCGTAAGAAATGGATACGTGCTTATACGGTCATAAAGGGTGTGTTTCTGAAACGGCCGAGACAGAATAACACAGCGTGAGGTAACCTAAAATTATCAACATTTGAAACAAACATAATAATAATGATGCAACTCAAAAAAACCCAAAACCTGCCAGCTTTGATTTCCTTTGGGGCAGAATAATTATAATGTCAGTGATGGTGATTATGGCACTCCGTATGGTCTCAATATTGGAAAATTGGTGTTTTAATAAGTTAACTTTAGTACCTAAGAAACATGGAAACATGAAGAGGATTATGTATAATAAAGCTTGAATTGAACTGTTAAGTTAGTGAAAGGAACTATAATAAGAAATTTCGAGAAATAACCAAACGTTTACAAATATTACTTACATATACTCGTCTGAATGGACAGCAATTGTAAGCATTGCACAAGAGATCGCGGATTTGAATAACCTAAACAAGGTTATTGTTTAGGTTATTTCTAAACAAGAAAAAGGATAATTCTAAAATTCAGTTTGAGAAGTTTCCTATTTATAGAAAAAAACAAGCGAAAGACAAGCACCTGATCACGGTAGAGATCAATCGAAAATGACGGATCTTGAAGAAGAAAAACTTTAAGAACTGATGGACCTTCCGCATGATTCACTCGAGCTACTTTCATGAATCGAGTACTTCCTAGGCTGAAACAAACAAATATTTAGGTAGTTCAAACATAGCAAACTAAAGAACCCTCTTCGCCCCTTTCTTCTTTTTTGGCATAAATAACAATATTTTTATGGAACTTTCAGTATATTATTACATTTACACGTCTTTACTCCCTCCTTTTTCGCATTTACATGTTATCATATTTCTTGTACTTCCAAGCCTTCATATAAAACTTAGTCAATATGTTTTATTCACGTTTCATTTTTACTACAGTTACAGGTTACTTACACTATCACGTTCTCATTTATAGTTACATATGTTCCGATTTATACTTACGTATGTATTCCCATTTACAGTTATATAAAAGATATTATTTCATTATTCTGGAACAGATACAGTACATAAATCACAGCATATTAGAGCAGGAAACATGGCTTTATGTACTTTAACTTATATCATATCTTGTTGAACGATTATTCCCAAAACCTATGTTTAATTTAAGAATTTTTTCAATTATAAAAATGACTGCTGGGAAAAATTTCAGAAAAGAAAAACCTTCCGACATATTCCACATCGCTAATATCTGAAAGATATGCTTCTACGCCCAATATTTGGGCCGGTATCTGCGCCGATAAGACGTTTCCCATCTCTTTTCACTTTTTCATTATTCGACGTATCGAAATTTTAAAGGTAAATCTAAAACATCAGTAAGAACAAGTTTTGAGCGCAAATTCTGAAGTAAACAATATTGTTGTTCATCACAATCAATATTTAGCACGAAAATAACCCGAAAAAATATCAGCAATCTGATGTTTCCCTGACACTATAGCATGATAGGAAATTGTCGACAACAAATAAAAGTGTTGCATTTCTTAAAGCATTGCAAATAAATCTTATATTTCCCAGTGTTTTGTATAACAAGTGAAAAGTGAAAAGACTCACAGGTAAAAAAGGTATGAAACATGTAATTATCCAAAGTGAAATGACACGTATCACGTCACTCCAAAGTATCCTTTATTAGAGACGTGCTCCGCAACGTGAAAATGAAATAACGAATTGAAAACAAATTGAAATTAATTTCGCATTTTCCTACAGCCCCGTAAATGCAAATCAAAATCTCACGGAAAATTGATTTTGGTTATGGAATGTCAAAACTTGGAAAAGAATTTCCCCAATTTTTCCTTCTTTTAAAAAATTTCCGCAGTTTAAAAATTGTAAGTTGAGGTTATCCGATAAATTTATAAAGGAAACGATAGACGAATATAAGTTAATTAGAAGCTTTCTGAGAGATTTGAAATAAAAAAATTATATGGTAATTCTCACCAAATTAATCAAATCGAAGTGCTTACCAAATTTACGGATAATATAGAGTATAATAATGAAATTAAGCTTCCATCTGGCTCATAACTGAGATTCCCCAAATTGAAAATATCATAGAATGGTGAAGTTATATTTGATGCCCAACTCTCCATAGAAATATAGTCGTGTTGAACTGTTTGTTTTATTTTCCTCATGCAACACTTCTTCATTACCAGTTCGATAGGTATACTTCGATGGTTAGCCTGATAAGCTACTCCCGAAAATTTGACGCATATGGGTAGTAAGTTGGCATAAGGATTGAAAAATTCATTGCATTGGACAATTCAGGCAATTATATCTAATAATTTGCAAGACATCACAACGATTACATCTAATTAGCTCCAACTTGTACCCCAATTGATCCTTAACATGCGACAACGACCCATATAATCTTTCCATTCATCGTTCTCGTCTTTCAACTTTCCGGTATGCCTCTCAGTGAGCTCAGAAAGGTATATTTTTATACAGTAGGAATTTTAATATGAGTCACTGATTGTTATCATATTCACGTGATTTACGAGCGGATATTACGTGATTTGAGTACGTCTATTCGAAATCCCAGCTCTTAGAAAATGTCAAATTTTACACATCAACATGTAAAACAATTGAGTACTTTATGTTCTAGTTCTTTTCCATGAATCAATTCTCACAGAATTACTATGACTCAAAGATATCATCGTATCAAAAATTTTGCTTGATAGACTTTTGTGATTAATAGCATATCCGTTGAGGGTGTATCGTTTTTCTTATTCAGATAATTTGTCCGAGGATTGCTCATTGAGATATTCACTGGAAGATATGTTACGCACTATCCAGTAACTTCTGTTACTCATATAATGCAATGGGATAGATGTTTTCTTCCTAGCTTATTTTCCTCAAAGTTTCAGAAATGTTCGGGAATGAATTTCGATATAGCAGCTGAAGAAATGCGACGCCTTGATGGTGAACCAAATAAGGATGAAAAAATGCAACTGTATGGTTTTTATAAACAAGCAATTCATGGAGACATACCATCTGTCGAAGATTACCGTCCGTTTGTTCCCGTTTATTAACTTTCTTCTAGTCTATTCATTATGACTAGTAGTGTTACCTTCCGTGATGTTTTGAATCACTTCACGAATTAGCACAAAAACAATACCCGTAAATACAATTCTTTAATATACGCGAAAAATTGCATGTTAGGATTTGGCCTCTCATTTTAGATGTTCCTTGCGTCCCAAATCCAGAAACCGGAAATATTCCCACAATGCCAAATTGATCGTTTATGGCTGGGATACACATCAAATACATGAATTTTAAATTTTTACTTTAAGAACAAGCATTTGAACAGATGCCAACATAGAAAATGCAATTTGGAAAAAAAATTAAGGAAAATCAGTGTACCAAACTAATTGCACTTTACTATCCTTCAATAAAATCTTCGTTTTTGCCCTGGTTAGACATAAAGAAAGTTTTTAAACAGTAAGTGAAATTTTAGAGCAGGATCCACTTCACATTCATTTGCCACTTTTTAGCCAAACCACCTGACACTGACCAATGGAATTTGCATAAATATAATGCTTGGATGAAAAATAAAGGTTAACTTTTTAAATGCTATTGAATTTGATCTCTCCCAAAAAAATGAATTCGCAATACCCAGTTAAATTTATGTAGTTTGTCAAATTTATTTTCCAAAGATATCTGCACAGCGTTAACTGATAAAGGGACTGAGAAATAACTCCAGAGCAGAACTGAGAGCGGCAAAAAATGAGTGCTTCAAAAATTCTCTACATGGAATTGGTCAAATATCGATTTGGTAGAGCATCACAAAAAAGCTAAAGAGGCTCTTCAGACGGACACAGATCTCTCATTCTTCGTCCACTTATTATTTTTTAGGCCACATGAATGACTTATTAAAGCCATTACATGAGATAAAAGAATTAGTTGAAAATTATACTGTGATGCAGAGAAGATGAACTGTGAACTGAACAAGGGGAAACATTTAGTTATCAAAATCAAAATGAAAATCAAAATGTTCAGGAATAGATCGACAACAGTGTGAAAAGGAGTATGTACAAATAGCCGAAAAAATGATCAAGGAATATGGTCGAAAGATTGTACGCTGTAAATGGAACAGTGAAGTTTGGACTGTTGATTACTGATGGGAATCGCACCCAGTAGAAGTGAAATAGAGTAGATGCAATGAAAATACAGATTATCAATTTCTCCTTTTTTCTCATTAATTAACATTGTAGTTAACGTGATTGTTCTGTGCTACTTCCGGATGCTGAAAAAAAATGACTAAGAATGAAGCTATGCAATCTTATTTCTTATTTCCAATTTATGAAATTATCTAAATTGTAAGCGAACTCGATCTTTAACTCTCAAAGGTTCTACTTCTCAAATGATGGCTGTAATGCTAAATCTTTTATCCTTTTTCATGAGTACAATCGAACCGTCGCTCTGGGTATGGGAAATGGTAGTAATGAATTATGAAATGATCAATTTAGAATCTCTGTTATCCGCTAATTCATACGTTGACAAAGCCAATTCAGAATCACAACAATCATGGGCTTAGAAACTTACATCGATTTCCAGCAATTCCATTGATGCTTCAAATACACAGTCACTGATCTTCTTCTGTACTATTAAGCCAAGTCGTGGATTTCGGATCGAAATTGCTCGTACTTTTTTTTCCACAAACTGACCTGAAACAGATGAATGAGCATCAGAATTTTTTGATAAATGATAACAAGAAACAAAACGCATTAAATTGCTTTAGTTCGAAAAAACTAAATCTTTGAACTACGTAAAGTGGTAATTTGGAGAGTTAGAAAAAAAATTTGACTATGATGAACAGAAAGCAGCACCCAAAAGAGTGAATTCGTCGATTATTTCCCGCCCAGTTTTCCGGTCAATACCATGTGCCATTTGCAATGCACTAGAACGCCTTTTCGAACCAACAACTGGTGGGCAAGTAGCATCCGGTTTTACTGCAAATTAAAATATTTTAGCATCCAGATTTACAATAAGTTATGAAATGTAGCCTACTGCTCGAAAAGCAAAATATTCACACATATTCATATTTAAAATAATCACATGTATTAAAATATTCATACTCAATAAAATACAAAATATTCATATTCACAAAATAGTCACATGCTACTTGTATACCATAAGTTAGCTTTAGTTAGCAGTGTATTTCGTCTTTTAGTGGAGATATTTGCATATTCAGAATTTTCATTTCATCTGCTCTTATAATAAGATTTTTTGTTAATTTATTTCTACAACGTATTTGCACTCATTTCGTCTTTATCTAAGTTTTTTTTCTTTTATATTCATTAATGCATAATACGTGGATAATGGTATATGGTTTTCCTCGTACAATTTCTTTGCATATTTAACACCAAGTTGAAATGAATTAAATCAAATTTAAACTAAATTTAAAAATGAAGATAAAAAAAACAGACCATCATGATTTGATGATTCGTCGCCGTTTTGATGAAATGAACTATCGCTAAACTGTTCCGCTTTTGAGACCGCTTCAATAGTCCGTTCTATGTTTGCTAACCGCTCAATGTTAGCCAGGGCTTCGTTAGTCTGATCGACTGAATTGTATGGATTTCCGGCTGTACTCGGACTACATGTTACGGTCACGGTACTTGTTACGGGATACAATCCACCATCTGTTTTGGACGGATAAATAGGATACGATGACTGCTGGTCGCCTTCCTTACGTTCTTGTGACATCAAGGCACTTGGTGTTGAATATGGTCGCTGTTGCTGGACGTTTCGATCATCCAACAGGAACGAATTATACAAGTAGCTCCTAGAAATGGAATTTCTATACAGTAAATTTAAATGAATTTAACTTAAAGAAAATAAAACAAAATATATTTGTTTACGCATTATACAAATCGATCATGATACTGCAACGCGGTCAATGACGATTCTGTAATATTAACCATAATGACAGAACACTTCAAGGATGAAAGTGCAGTGAACGAGAAGAAAGCATAAATGAGGAGCACACTTTCAAAATTTTAACTGCACTGTCTAAAGTTGAAGGGATGGTTCGAGAAGTGATCAAAAGAAGGGATCTGTAATTTTCAAACCAACCAACAAAGGAATGATGAACCTCGAACTCTTTCACTAATTACATAAGTAACTATTATACTACCATGTTATCTACTCATCCACATCCAAAAAATGTCCTTCGTCTCTCAAGCATCCCTGATCAAATTAATGATGTTCTTTTCAAAATTAATCTCAGATTTTGCCTGAATTCAATACTGAAACTTTTTTTATATGAAAAGAAATGAAACTGGAAATAAGAACAGAAAATTCTACCAATCACCGAATAACAAATTCATCACAGATACCATTTTTCATAATTTGAGGTTGCAATATATTTTTCAATATTTTTCATAATTTGAGGCTGCAAATAGTGCAACTTGGAACTGCAGGATATGGTTTCCTTATTTTTAATCCGGATTCCTAGGATCAATGAAAATAGAAAAACGAGGTGATGTCTAAACCGGAAAAATTAAGACCGAAAATCGAAAAACCAAATATCAAATTGAGAAAAGCATGTAGTTGCAACTGTCGGACACTATGCAATTGCTTGTTTCTAACATAACCAATACTCTAAGGGTCACAAAATGGTTTCGATAGGAAAATCAATAATGGGTAAACAAGAACTCCCGGAAGCCCCCAGAACAGTCTATTCAAATAACAAGAAGTAAAAATCTAAATACCAATCTGAACAACAGGAGATTTCTAGAAACTTTTTTGGATTGAAAAATTGGAACAATTATGTCAAAGCTTTCGTTAGATTATACAAATCGGATTTCGTTTGATAAAAAAGAAGTAATTTAAAATTCTAGGCTTAAAAATTCTCCTTCATTATAATCTTCCTCTTTGCCTTTATTCAAAATAAAAATGTTAATCCTTAAAGATTTATGTTTTGTAAATTTTCTTATAAAATATACAAAAATATAATGCACAACTTATTTCAGTGATACTGTAAACAGGAAATAGTAAACAGGAAAATGTTAATATTCCTACACTATGCTATCAGTCGAGAAGTGGTGTTTATAATTCTTTCCTCTTGATTGTATCGAAATTTGAATTATGAACTTCACATAACTTTTAAACTTCATATAACATCTGATATTCATACTTCATTGAGTATGAAAGGAATGTAACTGAGAAACGAATTACAATTCTGGGACTACCATAAAATCATGTTAATTATGTAGCCTACGATCAAGAAAATAGATCAATTTGCCTTACTAAAATATCTTTCATTTATTTACTAGATGATATAAAGAAAGGTTGTCTCATTTATAGAGCACACATTGATATTATATCAACGCAGTGCTCTTCAAGGATAACATAGTTCATAGTTCAAGAGATTACAGTTCAGTGATTGAGTCAAACAAAAAAAATCATGAATATAATTTCAGGAACTTTATCCTGAATTTCCTAACAAATTCAATTTTCATTTTAACAACTTACATTGGATCATTTGCTTCAGCAATATCAGTAGCATCCGTAAATTTCAACATTTGCATGAAACGCCATGGTTTTATTTGGACATTTGATACTTCCATTCGGCGCTTAGCTCGTCTGTACTGATCTCGTAAATGCTGCCACTGACGACTTGTATGAGTACCTAAATTTTCTAATGTTGAGAGAGAGAGGGAGAGATAGAAGGTGAGGGGGAGAAAAAAAGGCAAAATAAATAACACTGACAATGTAGCAGTGTAAAAACAAACAAGAAATAAATAAAACAAATAATTATGCGAAAGAAAAGTGTAAAATAATGATTAAATTAATTTAAATTTCGAATCAATTTAAATTTCGTATTGTTAACAGCTTCGAAATTCTTCAATAATGTTAGGATTGCTATCGATACATTATCATCAACATCATCATCATCATCATCATCATCATCATCATCATCATCATCATCATCATCATCATCATCATCATCATCATCATCATCATCATCATCATCATCATCATCATTCAGTTTTAATATCTCTATCACCTCTTCACAAATTTACCCGACCTCAGCTTCTTTTTTCTCTTCTTCCCGAAGGATAGCATTCGAAAATATGTGTGTGCGTATGTATGTGTGTGTGTGTGTGTGTGTGACTGTCTGTCTGTCTGTCTGTCTGCATGTATATCATGCATGCACATTTATCAGTTAAAATTCTTCCAATTTAAATAGCACAATAAATATTATGGCATTGTTAAATCTATGAAAATGGCAGTCAATACGGAAACTCTCTCCCTCCCCTCCTCCTCCCTTTCTCTTTCTTTAATTATCGCTTACCAACTCTCGAAAACAAAAGATCATCCGGCTCTATTCCGGTATTGAAAACTTTAAAATATTAAAAGGTAATTAAAAATGACTCAGTGGTAAAAAGAGATGAATAAGAAAACAATAATACGAATTAAGATTCTTACCTAGAATTAAAAATTTAAAAAAAAAAAGAACTCTTGTTACTATATGAGAAATTTGAAACTAATATAGAGGGAGAGAGAGAGGGAAGAGAAGAAAATGGTGAGAAGAGAGAGAGAGAGAAGGAGGAAAAAGGAATAGTAAACAATTTTGTTTACAACTCTGATTATTTTCGTTCCATACAACACCTGCGTTTCCGCCTTAATTCCCGATCTCAAGCATCTATTATTGCCATTATCACCATCACCATCATCATCGTCATCATTATCACCACCCTCATCATCATCATCATCATCACCATCATCATCATCAATCATCATCATCATCATCATTACCATGAACAACGTCATTGTAATCGTCATTATCATTATCGCTATTATTATTGCTATCATTGTTGTCATTACTAAAGATAACTACTAACCCTTAAGTATGATACCGAACATTTCTGACATTTCTTGAGCAATTTCCCAAAAAATTTGTCGTTTTTTGGCAGCATTCCGGTAATCAACATTAGAAAAATTCCATATGCATTCCTGACGTTGTACCGATTTGATCAGTACCTCACGCATTGCATCCGTCCATACGATTGTTTCGTTTGACATATTTTGCTCCTTATTGCGTGGAATCTTCTGAAAATATGGAAATTTTACGAATTTAGAATGATATATATGAAATTTCACATCAAATTTTATACGGCTAACCGGATTACACGCATTTAACCGATTACTCGACGTATTTTTGGTAGACCGTGTCGATGCATTCTTTTCATTAATTGAATTAATTATAAAGGACAATGGGAAAGTCGATTTTTACCTACGGAAATTTAAAACAACAAGCAACAATTAACTTCCGGGATTTTCCGGACAAAACGCTCGTATGTCTTAAAATCCACGGTCCCTAGTTAATCTAAAATTTCTTAAATTTTACAGTGCTTATTTTTCAGATAGGTTCCTTAAAGTTATACAATTTTTTTTTTTAATCCTTTCCTTACATTTTTATTTATCATGAAATAAACACCTGTAAATGGAACTTGAAAAATGTCACAAGAATTCTGACTAATGTTAAACTCTGAAGTTCTAAATTCAAAAATTTCCATGGTAAATTTGTGAAACAGAATTCATATGAAAGGCCTAAATTACAGTAGTCTAGCATTTTTCTTGTTTAAAAAAAGCTTTTCTCATCAAGACTTTGTAACTTCAAACTTCAAAATACTAGGCCTAAAAAAATGGAATGGATAAGTAAGCCTGGAAGTAACAGTTATCCTTTCCTCAAGCATATCATTAAACTTCAGCAAGAAAACTCTAAACAACAACAACAACAACAACAACAGGTTATCAGGGGAAATCGGTAAACAGATAATGTAACCGGATACATTGAAAAATAGTACCAAAAAGTGACCAAACTTGTGACAATCCGGTTCGGTTATCCTTAGCCGATCTTATTTTCTTCCTGATTTTCACCGACGGTATCACAAATCTTTCAGCGAGAAATCAACCTGTGGTACCACGGAAACCCATCTTCGCAGGCCCAACTCACAACAACACACCGACAAAGTATGTGTGTCTGTGAAAATGTGTGTATGTGTGTGTGTCTGTGTCTGTGTCCGTGTCTGTGTGCGTGTAACTGCTGAAGACGGGACAGTGAATGTTGATGTATGCCGCACACATACACATACACATAAATCCATACATATACATACATGCATACATACACACATATAAACATACGCACAAACATACACCATACATACATACATACATACATACATACATACATACATACATACATACATATATATATGCATACATACATATATACATACATACATACATACACACATATATACATACGCACGCATGTATAGTACAGACATACACACATACAGACCTATGCATATAAATACATATATACATACATACATACACACATACATACATACATACATAGATATATATACATACACACATACATGCTTACATACATACATATATACAGGTATACATATATGTACTCTCGCACTAATGTCTTTGATCTGCGCCTTCGTTTATTTCTCAATACAGATTTCTACACGTCACATACACTTACCGACATGCTTCACATTCCATCAGTGTATGTGATCCGTACATGAACAAATTGCTGAAGACATTTGCATACAGACACACGCATGCAAGCACATACACGAACACATGCACACGTACAACTTCACGTATTTACTCTTGCGTATAGAGAACATAAACATAAACATACTTGTACAAATACGTGAACAATCATACATAAATATATACATAAACAGAGTGAAACAAACGCCTACAAACATACATCCACCGACACAAATGCTTCCCACCAATGTCATATATGTGTGTCTGTGTATGTATGTATGTGTATGTATGTACATTCGTATGTGTGTATACATATATGTGTAAAAGCGTAGAGGTTGATGGGTTCAAGTATGACATGTATAACGCACACCTACACGCATACACGGACGTGATGGGAACCTGCACAAGGAAATATGCAGGTAACAGTTATCCGTAGACATGGAAACATACGCATAGTCACACACACACAGACATCCATAGACATACACACATACATAGACATACACAAACATACGTACACAGACATGCACAAACATGCACAGACGTAAACTTACATATGCGCAGGCATACACAGACATTCATAGACATACATAGACATGCACAAACATGCACAGACGTAAACTTACATATGCGCAGGCATACACAGACATTCATAGACATACATAGACATACACAAACATACGCAAACATACATAGGCCACACAGAAATACAGACATGAACTAGACACACATAGACATACACAAATATACCATGCGAACAGACACATTCATAATTCCAATTAAGATTATTGTGGTATATATAGGTTTTAGTACATGCATACATACAAACATACATACACACACATACATGCTTACATCCGGACATCCACTCATACATATAGATTCACACATATACAGACATAAGCGCATATACAAGCATACATATACACATACATACATACATATGCACATACACGCATACACGCACATACATACATACAGATACACACACATACAGAGATATAAGCACATACACCCATATATATATATATATATGTATACATGCCTACATGCGTACGTCCATCCATATATACATACATACACACGTGCTCACATACGGGCATACACACATACATACAGATATATGCACATAAAGACATAAGCACATACATACATACATACATACACTCGTACATATGTACATACACACCCATACATACCTTGGCATATACACATACATGTATACATATAAAATTCAGTATCGACCGGAGGGAAATCGTTTATTCGAAAGGAGACAGGACGGGAAGATTTGTTGAAAGATCGGATATGAAATTAAAGAAGGATGGTACGGAAAACCGTTTTAATGCAATCACTTAACGGTTTTTCTCACTTTCCTTTTTTGTCAGCAAATTAATTGGATTATCATATGCAGTGATTGAAACAATATAGAGACAAATTTCTGGAAATAGACCGTTTTTGCCGGTTATTTCATTGATATCCTGTTCTCTCCATCCGGTAATAAAAATCATCAAGAAATCTTAAAATGTTACTCTCTGCTACACTTCTCTATAATAATAAATCGTTCACAAATTTCATAGATCCACGTAAATATACGTACACGTGTACAGGTATATACGTGCATTAGGATACTTGATTACCGGAAGCATTTTTTTTTTTTTTTTTTGTAAATCCGAAAATGATTTTTCATTTGGGAACAATAAATTATCGACTATTTAAAATAGAAAAAAAAAAACAGAGAAGCTTGGGTGAATTAAGTTGGCTTGACGGAACAAATTCCATGAAAATACTTTTCAAATACCATCCGTAAAATGATTTGCGCTTAGTTACTAGCACGATCCGGTCATTTATCATTATAGATTTTCCGGTTACAATAGCCGTATGCTGCTCCTATATACACCGTTCTATTGGGAATATAAGCTGAATGAGACAAAGTGACAACACTCCGATGTCTTTGGACCATTAAATCTTCGTCATATCTCTCTCATACTCACGTCACGTTTAGAATGACTGTAGTTATAATTAATATAATTTTTTTTACCGGAATTGAAATAGTTGAAACTTAAATAAAGAAGTAAGAGAGAACCATTAAGAATAAAATGTTTGGAATGATTGAGAAATGATTTATCAAATATTCAGTTGTCTTGGATTCTTGTAAATTAGTCACGTATAACGTGACCTGTGATCTTTTCATAAAGAGCAAATTCAGGAGACAAACATTTAAAAATATTGGGAAGCGAAAAAAGTTTTTTTTTCTTTTATTGAAAAAGTAGCTTTAGTTATTCAAAAATTATTTTTAGATAAAAGAAAAAATTTCGTTTTTCCATTCTCCATCGTACAAAAAGATTGGTTAATTTACGGAAAAGTTTTCCGGTTTCATTATCCGTGTTAATTTCCTTTTTGTCCATTGTCCGTTATCCGTATTTTATTTCCCTTTTTCATGTAATGGCGCTGAATATTGATTAGATTTTCAGATTTCCAGACTTACGTTTCAATTACTTATCAACCAAATTTTATAAAATTTTAAAACATTTACATTTTCAATATAATAGAAAAAAAGGTTATATTTTTAAATTAAGAAAAAAAACCTTTTTTTTTTGAATTTTCAGAAAATTCTTCCATAAAATACTAATAAATACTTTATAAGTGACCACAAAAAAAAAAAAGAAAAAAAGGCCAATAGCATTTTTGCAATCGAATGTTCAAATAGTATCCATTCTAGTTTCGTTTCTTTTTTGAATTTTAGATCGTTAATAATTGTATGAAAGCAATTAATATAGGAGAAACTGGATGAGAAAACTGTAATGAATACATATTCCACAAGCATTATTAGAAAAATATTGACTGATATTTTTTACGTGAAATTTCACGTAAATTAGGCGCATTTTTCTTATTTGAGGCAGTTTTAAAGTTTAAAAAAGCATTTCCGACACGCATGCACGTCTTAAAATTTTGAATATTCGAAATGTAAACGTTTCATTTGCATATATTTCAATTCCATTTCATTTCTGTTTCATTAATTTTATTTTCCTTCATCATTTCCAATCTTCTCATTTCTTTTCTTTTCTTTCTTTTAACTTTAACTTTATCAATTATTTTATGTTTTTGCATTCTTTACTTATCTTTTAACTTTATTTGATTATTTTATATTTTCGCATTTTTATTTATCACAAAGTTCTAATAACAACCATTTCGATCACATTTCCTTGATAAAAACGATTCTAAATGATGCAATTCGCATATATAGATGAAAGAAAGAAATAAAAATTCATTGGAAAATGACAATAAATAATTTTAGGTTTAATTAAATATGCGAAAATTTTGTAATTGAAATATGAGATATTCGCATTCAGTCTTACTATTAAACAGTAATCACAATGGAATAACATTTGGGTTAATTATTTCTAAAAATTTCGCTGAAATTTGCATAAGCAAGCAATGATGTAAGAAAGATAAGAAGAGAATAAAAACCTTCAATAGAAATGATTTAAGCCAGGAAAAAAAAGATAAAAATATTACGAAGTAATCGATTAAAATTAAGATCATCTTGGTGTATGAATTCGGCAAATATATGGCATACAATCGCATGAAACTAGGCTTCAAATTAAAGCCTTAAAGTATTTATCTAAGACTTTTTAAAAAAAATAAAACTTTGTCCATTTAACTGTTCAGAACTTTGTCCCTCATTTAACTAATTAGAAGTTTAAAACTTCAGAAGCTATGAAGTCCTGAGTCATTTTGTCATTACGGGAAACCTGAATTAAAGATGATATTATTTCAGGTTTATTGAATATGATATGGCAAAGCAAAAATCAGATTTTATTGCTAAAATTGCTAGAATGTGCCATTTCAAAATATTAAAATTTAGAAATTGACTTTTAATGGTCCACTATGTAAGTTATCACATTATCCATTTCCAATTCGTTAATTCATTTCCGGTTAAAATTAAATTCAAATTAAAGAGTGCAGGATGAAGTCAATTCTTTCAATGATAGCTGATGCTGTGCAGTGAACTGTAATTGAGAACGTGATCGGGAAGGATCAATCGGATAAAGTTTAGAAACTCTGTAAAAAGTAATGTTCGTTAAAACCATTTTTTTTAAAAATATTTTTATCATCAATTCGAATCCATTTGCATATATACTTTAAATTATAAAAATCAAAAATTTCAAATTATTCAAAATTTTGTGAAAAAAAATCCATCACCCGAATTTAATGCAGAAAATACTACAAATACATTGAAAATTTTCTGAAATATCTCTAATTTTGTATTTAAGAAATTAAAACGAATGTGAGAAACTTATAGATTAAATGAAATTTTGGTGCAAATCAATGATTACCAATAATTGAAATAAGCTAAAAAAAAAAAAAAATACGGTATCAATTGTATTGGGAAAGAGACTAATAGATACATTTAAGCATTCCTTTTGGATTGTAATTTTGCAACACAAATAATCATATTAGATTACGGTACGGAAGCTCAGTAGAATATAACTGTTTCAAAAGTAATTAAACAAATGCAGAAGTAAAATGTAGAATTAAATTTACAAAAAAAAAAAAAAAAAAAAGGAAGAGAAAATGAAAAGGCAGATTTTGAGGATTAAATAGTATTAATAAAATAATGTAAAAAGATATACCCGAAATAATAAGCAAAGTATTTCCCTTTATTGAAGAGATTACAAAGAATGCAGATAGTTTGTTTTATCTTATCAATTATACCCGAAACAATAAGCAAAACATTTCTCTTTATTTAAGAGACATATTATCAATCTTATCAATACATCAAATTTTTTATCTTACTCGCACATTTCTTATCTCACCAATCAATCGATTTAGCCTACTTATCGAACTTATCAGACGACTACTCAGCTTCATTATCATATCATATCAGCTAATCGTAGAGAGCTAGCGAAGCTAATTGTAATGGGTATTTTTTTTTCTTGTAAAATGAAGCAACAGAATTACTAGATACGATTAATCTATTCAGTGATTTATAATAACAGTTTAAACATTCCTTCCTTCAATTCATCCGCTTCATCTTACCTAATCAACCAATGCTATCATACTGTATCACTTATCTTATCAGTAATGCTAATTTAACACTACTAAAAATGGAAAGCTCAGTTCATAACTACGTAAAGTTTCGATTTCATGCAAAAACATATTATACATGCATAAACCAATGAAACAAAAAATAAAAAAAGCGGAAATTAACAAAAAATGTGTATATTCACAGCTACTAATACTAAAAACAAAAAGGTCGATACGATATACAATAAGCAAAGTTTGATGAGCAAATAAGGAAATTTCAAAAAATTTTTGCAGAATTCAACTAAAATCAGCTGTATCAAATGTCAATAATAATATAATAATAATAATAGTAATAATAATAATAATAATAATAATAATAATAATAATAATAATAATAATAATA